TTCTTCTCCAAGCTATCATCTTAATTTTTCTTTCCCAATACTGAAGAGTAATATATCTAACTAGCTATGCATAGATTTCTTCTCTTTCTTTAAACACTACAATGCCCTGTAGACTTCTCTACAGGCAGTAACCTAAAAACTACAGTTTAATATGAAATCTAGTGCTTTTACTTGTATGGTATCACCATGTTTGATTTTATGTTTCTAGCATGTGTTTATTATGATTCAATGGGACATGTACGATTAAAATATAAGGTATCAAATATATTTGTCTTAGACAAAAGCATGAGCAAAAATATATACACGTATTTGTCTCTTCTTTTCTGAATAAAGATGTTTGCAGTGGCATTATTTATACCACTCAATTTCAACATCAAGTTAATGGGAGTTTAATAAACTTCTATTTACTCATTAGAATGGTTATGTATCCATTATAAGCATTTACAAATATTGTGTCTTTTCATGACCTGTGTATTGATTATGTTTTCCCAGAGTTTTTAATGAAAAAGTGTTTTTAAGAAATGTTTATGAAAATTTCCCAAAAATACAAAGAAAAGAGACACCTAAGAGTCTACATTTCCCCAATTAGTACCTATCCATTGTCTTTATATTCATTTGGTATGTAATTGCAAACATAAACAATGTCTACTATACATATATATATATATATATATGTGTGTGTGTGTGTGTGTGTGTGTGTGTGTGTGCGTGTGTGTATGTATACATATATATACATATAATTCTGTGTAACTGTATTAATACACATGAAGACTTTTTCTTATCATCCTTCACATGATAACATACTTTCATATCACAGATGACATCTAATAACAGATTCTAAAAATTGAATTTTTTTCCATAACTTTGTATTGTAGCATATTGCACTATAGTTGTGCATTGCAGAAGCTCTATCTTGACTTGGGCTAAATTGCTAGAGAAGAGACTTATGGGTAAAAGAAACAATGCATAAGTAATGCTATTATATGTAATGGTGTTGATTTTCACAGATGTTGTGTCATGTTGTATTCTAACCAGGGATATGTGAAAGACATTATTTTTTCAAAGCATAGCATTAAAGTTTATCTGCTAAGAGGGATGATATCACAGGATAGTTTCTGCTTCTGCCTCACTGGTTATAAGTCAGGTTGCGTCTCTTTTCCTAAGTTCTCAAACCTCTTCTTGCCTTTCTGTAGCTTGAGTTTTCCTGCCTGGCCCACAGTCAGGACAAATCTCTCTCACCTTGCCAGTCCCACAGCTGCTCAAACCCAACCAAGTAAACACAGAGACTTATATTGGTTACAAACTGTATGGCCGTGGCCGGCTTCTTGTTAACTGTTCTTACAGCTTAAATTAATCCATTTCCATTAATCTATACCTTGCCACATGGCTCATGGCTTACCGGCATCTTCACATGCTGTTTGTCATCGGGGCAGCTGGCAGTGTCTCTCTGACTCAGCCTTCTACTTCCCAGCTTTATTCTCCTCCTTGTCCCGCCTACACTTCCTGCCTAGCCAATGGCCAATCAGTGTTTTATTTATTGATCAATCAGCAACACATTTCACATACAGAACATCCCACAGCAGTTCCCCCATTTTTTTTTTCAAAAAGGAAGGTTTTAACCTTAACAAAGTAAAATTACATATAATTTGGGAATTTGGGCGTAGCTTCTCTTACTACTTCCTGCTGGAGGGGGTGCTGTATCTTATGGGGACACAAAGAAAATTTTAGAATTATGGAATAGTCCATGAGGGTGTATCGTCTGAGCCAGTTCCCTTTAAACCATTCTGGATGTTGGATCATCTGGGCCATGGTGTCATTGGAGACCTTTCAGGGGGTCTTGGCTGGTCAAACCTGATGTATCTTAATCTGGAGCAAATCCATAGCCTCTGGCTTTCTATGGGAACAAAAGCAGAATCTCCTTTCCAAAGCAACATATCCTTATATCCAAATTTTGAAGTCAAGGTACCTTTAAAATATACATTTTGGCATAACTCAACAGCTTTTACCATCAAATGTTTTTCTGCAGTTAAAAATCCCAAAGACAACACAATCCAGATTCTCTGTGTAATATTCATCTTTACGTGGCTTATTTTTTATATTAATTTTACTGTCTCTTTAAAGACTTTATTTTTTAAAACTATGTATTTGTTTATGTAACTGTATATATCACCTTTTTTTGTCTCTTTCAAGCCTACGTATATTTTACACACATTGTAAACTATTACATCTGAATCTGTCTTATTGTGAATCTATTGCTTTAAACTGCAGCAGCTGTGGCTGCTGGCTCTGCCCACCTCAGCTTCCCAACATGGCTATATTTACCACCAGCTCTGGGAACTATCGTGGGTCTATGCTTTTATCCAAAAAGCGTGTAGCCCAGAAACCTCTTTTTTTGGTTTGTACTAGCAAAGTCTAAATCTACCATGCAGCTTAATGTGCCAATTGCAGAGGCCTCATTCCCGCCAAACTGCAGGTCGAGCGCTCACGCTATGAACCCTCCTCCAGTAGCTCAAACCGGCAGCTGCAGCTCATTTGAGAGAGACAATTAGGAAGCTGTTTTTAGCTCCGTTTTAGAATCTTTTTTCTCAGTTTTTAGGTGGAAACTCTTGCCCCATGTTGGGCACCAGATATTGGTGAAATTATTAAGGCCACTCCACGTAGTTAAAAGGAGATTTATTTAATGGCGTAACTTACAAATTAAGGGATAGGTAGGTCACGGGGTCTGGGGAAGGTGTATGGCAGTCCAGCGGTGTTCTCTGGAGCTCTGCTTAGCCCACCTCCGCCGTCCAGGGTCCCAGAACTGAGCGAGCGCCCGCCGATCCAGCTCTCCAGTTTCCAGGCGCCTCCCTTGGCCCCGCCTTGTAGGCATGAGTGTTGCCAAAATCTCAATGGGGGTTGGAACTTCCAGATCAAAGCTGGAATGGCTACCCACTACACCTTTCTTGCTTGCTTGCTTGCTTGCTTGCTTGCTTGCTTTTCTTATCAAAGAAATCTTTGCTTCATTAACCCATATGATCTGTATGCAAATATTTTCTCCTCGTTTGTCATAGACTTTTATTTTGCCAGTGGCATATATCATCTTAATGGTGATTTGGTAAAGGAAAAATATGGAGAAGTTTGTCTGTTAAGTATACATTTGCCTCTTACAGTATGTTAGGTTGCTGTGTAAGTTTTCCTGACATATATAAATAAATATCTGTTCATCCCAAATCAAGTACCAACAACAGATTAAAACACAAGAACAAGAACAACAAAATTATTTGAGCTAATTCTAGTTTGATGAATCAGTGAGTTTACTATGGGTAGTTCCAACAGGATAGGTAACTCAAGAAAGGTGTATCACCTAAGTGTTCATGACATCTTACAAAAGCTACTTCCCTAGAGCTCCCTCACTCTTTGCAGGCAGCTCCACTGAAGATTTTCCTCCTTCCCAGAAAGTGTTTGTGATTGTATATATAACCTTGGGAGAGAGCTAACAACTTCTTCAGTCTGAAAAGTCTCCCTTTTCTTTTCATGAGAGAAAGTTTTGATTTGGAGGAAATAATTTAAACCATAAATATGAGTGTTGGCATGTCCCCTTGGCTCAGGTATCCCTATGTATTTAGTAAACTACTCACACAGAGATTTAGATACTGGTTGGTAATTAACTCAAGGACTAGAGTCTTGACCAAGATGACAAGCTTATTAAGAAGAAAGACAAGAATAGGGTGTTAATTCAGAGCCAGAAATGATGTTACTGTTTTCTTCTAAATAATTGATGTGCAGAGAAAGCAACCCATAGCTAATAGCTAAACATGAACAAATTCCAATGGGACAGATGTTATATCATCATACTGTATGGCATCAAATAATTCCCAGTGGACTGTGTCAACACTGGGGTCAATCCTAGGAAGCACAGGGAGGTGGTGCACCCTGTTTTTACCCAGATGTTTGGCAAACACTCTACCAAGTGATTCACAGATGTGTGAGTTGGGAGAAAGGCAGAGAATTAAAACCAAAGTAAGCTTGTGATATGCACTTGTCTGTATAGTAAATATATTTGATACCAAGTGAAACAATTTCTATTATACATATGGGTATTTGAAATGTAATGAAATTTAAAATAAAGTAAAATGTTCTTGAATTGAAAATAATTTTAAAATTATACCTGTGTGTTCTAGTATCAAAAGACTTTGAATAATCTTTTTTTCCCCAAATTTTCAATTGGAAATTATTCAGTATCACCAGATGTATCATTTTTCATAGATTTTTGTTACATTTTGCTTTTTCTGTCCAATAGTAAGGATTTATATGAAAATACATTATGTTCAGTCTAATTAATAACTCATTAACTTTATAAACAACCATGGCAAGCCAAATCCTGTTATTCACTAGACTAAGAATAGATATGAGACCAGTTTTAAATCTGAGGCAAGTAAAGCACTTCGAAAAATCAAGTAGAAGAGAAAATTAGCCTAAGTGAAATCTTCTGTTCTGATTATTTTCAAGATAAATTTGCTTATGTAGAGTTACCATTACTTACCAATATGACACACATTGGATGGATGATCAATCATTACACTGACAGCAGCTATAACATGGACATTCAGAGAGATATGACCCTTCTATTCAAATCTCGGCATCTGGAGCATGGAGATCCTGTGTGTGTATAAAAATGCAACTGTGCATATAAAATGCACACGACATAGTTGTGATCAATACCCACCTTCCACCACCAGACAACATGTCTGTCATTCTGATTTTCTGTATAGAAAGTCCTAAGATAATGACAAATGAAAAACCTAGAGTTCTGTGACAGCATATTTATTCATACACTATGGTTTAGAGATGGAGGGGTTTCCTAGCTAGTTTTCTGTGAAGTATTAGCTCTCCCTCAGGTTGTGTTGATGAAAGAAAATAAGAATCCTAGATCAGCTTTAAAACTGTCCAGTGCACAGTTGTCTCTGCAGTGCTGACAGGCTTCCAGAAATGCTGAACATTGCTTCTGCTTGCTTTTGCAGGACCAGTGGTTTTGGCGAGTGAGAAACAACAGGGTGATGGATGGATACCCCATGCAAATTACTTACTTCTGGAGGGGCTTACCTCCCAGTATTGATGCAGTTTATGAAAACAGTGATGGAAATTTTGTCTTTTTTAAAGGTAAGTATGTTTTCTCAGACTGGTTCTGTTGTATATTGATCAACTTGTTCAGAGCCCTGTAGTGGATTTCATGAATACAATGTATATAGAACAAAAATATAAGTGAAATTAAGTATAATGTTTAATTGTGTAAATTTACTTTCATTTGCAGTATGCTTATGTTCAAGTCAAAACTGGATGATAACCCTCTCTGTAGGAATTTTAGATTTAGATTATATACAGCACAAAATAAACCTAAGGAGTAAGGTAGGACCAGTACATGCCTGCAACTTCAGCCACTTAGGAGACTGAGGTTGAAGCAGGAAAATGGCTGGAACTCAGCAGTTTCAGATTAGTATATCCTGAGGGTCATAACAAGACCTTGTCAAATGAAGGAAGGAAGGGAGGGAAGTGGAAAGAAAGGAAAGAAAGATGAAAGGGAGGGAGGGAAGGTAAGGAAATAAAATAAATAGCTGTTCCTCATCTGTTCGTTTATTTCTGTAGTATTTGGAGTTGCTTACTGCTTTTTGTGGTGAAGTGTGTTTTATAACTCGGAGTATATAATCTTTGAAGTTTTACTGTGTTTATATAAACAACTTCTATCAAACTAAGAAATTAACCATAAGGATGAGAGAAGGTTGTGACTAGAAAATTCACCCAATGATCAGTATTCTGATATTGACTTAATTATTATTTATCTCAGTGGTGAGTGTTTATCTCACAAATGCTGCCAAGTACCTAGCATGCAAAAGTAGATTACCTTGCAAAGGGAGCTAGTCCTCTATCCTTAAAACTTGAGAATGGATAACTTTAAGTGGGGGTCAGGGGCACAGAGATAAGACAGGCTGCTGGAGAATTGAGGGATTTGTGAGGGCCCACATGAACTGAAGCTGAGCCTTGGACTGTGGAAGAGTCATAATTGGTATGTGATTCATGGGTCTATGAAGACTGGAAGTAAGCTAAAAACAGGATACAGTTTGAGAGGGACAAAAAGAGATTCTTAAGGAAAAAAATATAATTATTTTCAGGGTTGAAATAGACTTTGATGTAATGATGAGTGTAGTGAAAACAGTTAGGTGGCAATATGTGTGTCTTAAGCTATATTAGGTGAGTGCACACTTGAATTCTTTTCCTTTGAGGATCATCTCTTGATTAAAATAGAAACAGTGCTACATAAGTTATTCACTACATGGGAGTGGAGGTCTGCTGTTATGTTGTTCTTTATAAACTCCTATTAACTTCATGAACTGGTGACATTCCTTGCTCCAGCTTACTTATCAGGGATTATGAGCCATACTATTCCCTACCTTGTGATTATTGGGACTACTAAATTATTACCACATATGAAGTACTTGGCACATGTATGCTGTCAGTGAATGCCAGTTACTGCTGCTGCCACTGCTGCTATGATTATTAATACTACTGCATTCCTGCTATTTTATAGCTGGTGTAACTGAAATATGCAGGTATTATACTACTGTAAACAAAGTATGCACATCACTGTTACCAGGCAAATTGGGGTTCCTAGTTGCATTCTAAGTCTTGTAAATAAAGTAACTTAGAAAGAGACTACAAAGGAAGCTTAAGCATAATTCTATTAGACATTGAGAGAAAAGCAAAGCAGTGGAGGTCAATGAGAAGCCACACGTCAGAAAAACAGCTACGGGGTAGAATGAGAGGTAGTTTTAGACGAAAAAGTAAGAAAGCCACGAATGTTTGGGAAAGCCTGTTCAGGCTTTGGCCAGAATCAAAAAGAAAAGGAGAAACTTCATAAAGGAAAAGTTATATTTTTCTGAGTAACTCAGAAAAACAGAGACACCACAGTTCTGTCTATGAAATCTCTCTCTACCAACGACTGCATGGGAAGGAGTTCCTGAAAGAATAAGTGCATTATCTCACTAACTGAATAATTATTCCTCCAGCTTCTTGCATGACTTAGATGAATCATCCCTCCTGAAAGGTGGTATCTCGGCCAGGTGATTGACAGGTCCACTAGATTAACTCTTAGGAGAGCAGACAATATTATACAGTGCTCTAATCTTTGGAACTGAACAGAATGTCATGTCTCCACTCAGACCAGAAGTAGGTCCCATTCTTAATGTGTCTCAGTGTGTCCCTGATAGCTCTAATTTGTCATTTGGCATGTTTAAAGCCTAAGGAATTAAAAAGTTAATATTTGTTTTTTGAGTGTTATCAGGGAAATAGGTGAAGCTGAAAGTCTCCATGGCTTTGAAGATGACCCAAATAGTATCTGAAGGTTGTGAATGTTGGAGGCAGAGTCCCTAGAGGGAAATTTTCCTCTTCTGCACTCTTCCTTGTCCTTATCTTTACCAAACAAGTAATTATTCTCAGGAACAAAGTATAGCTTGGGATAATGATCAAGTTCAAAACAATTAAAACATTGAGTTTGGAAAGGTGACCCTAGATAGCCTTAGGCTGTTCTGAGAATGCCCTTTGTCTAAACTGCCTAAGGGGAAGCTAAAGTCTTAACAGTGGTGTGAGAAGCCTTCACTCCCTTAGGGTTGTTTCACTTTTATTCACTTTTTTGTGGAAGGGTTCACCCCTTTTCTTTCACCTTTAATATAAATGTATGCCCTCAGAATACCCTTGCAACCACCATATTTTTTTAAACTTTTTATCAGTTCTTTATGGATGTCACATCATGCATCTGGACCCCATTCAGCTCCCTGTCCCTTTGAAGCCACCCTCTGCCCTTGCAATTTCCAACCCCCTGCCAAAAAAAGGTAAATAGAATAAAATTTAAAAGGAAAACAAACAAACCAAACTAAACAAATAATAAAACAAAATCTCAATGAGGAAGCTGTAATGTGACACAGTGGTATTTAAATATACCTTCTGGGCAACACATTTGCAACACTTGCAAAGAATTTTAAATTACCTAAAAACCTAAAACTTTCAAATGTAAATTTCATGAGGCTGGATCTTGTTTATATTTTATCATCCCTGTATTTTCAGTTCATAAAACAGTACTGGTTGCATGGTCACTACTTAATGAACATTTTAATAAAATAATGCCTCTAAGTGCTAATTAAATGTCAGTACAAATTTTAAAAAGGGTGGCAATCACAGAAGCTGACAGTACCTTCTGCTTCCAGCCACATATTCATACTCAAGAAGTTAGCCAATAATTGCCTGGTGTGTGCCTTGGGGAGCAGGAGTTAACTGCTTAAGAATAATCACTGCACTATTCATGCCTAACAAATATTTAAGGTAAGACATGAAGCAGTAGATCATTACAATGAAATTGGTCTGGAAAAAAGTCCAAGAATAGTTACAGCTACAAAAATATGGAACATAAAATATAGCAAATCATAATATCTACATCCTACCTAATCATATTCTTGAAGCCTGTATCAAGTGTTTTAAGGGACAAGGATTGCAAATAAAAAGCATCCATATTGCAAAGAAAACTTTATTCACATACCAGTTTGTGCCTATGTAAATATAAGATGGAGTCAACCAAAAGTTTTTCAAATTGGCAAGTGAATATAGTAACATGACAAGATTGTAGAAATATCAATTTTTTAATATATCTTGAACAATTATGAAGAGACTGGGTCTCTGTAAATTTGTAATATTTGTAAATTAACAGACTAGCCTATTTTACTTTAATGGGATTTGGGATGAAGGCAAAAAATCCTCAAAAAGAGGAAGGGAATTAGGCAAAAAACTCAGTAGCCTGCAACCCAACTCTCATGGTGTGATGTGAAGAGAGCCAGACAACTGCTCTTCATATAATCTGTTTCATGGCTAAAAGGAACAGCAAACTAAATGAGAAGCAAGCCCTTCTAAATGTTTTCTGAAGGTAAACATTTCCTTTATTATACTGGACAGTAAATAAGCATCTTTACTAGGAGAGGAATTACTGCACTATGATCGAAGAAGATCTAGTATGCAAATCTCTTTGCTAATGTGTTTCACAGTAAAGGCAGTCAGTGCTTCAGTTAAAAAAAATCTGTGGGAACTGTTTTCTACTACATGTTAGTAAAGAAAAAAATTAAAGATCATATCATTTAAAAGGTTAAATATTTCTGGGTCCAACTACAAAGCAATGTGTAGCACTTATACATTACTAAACTCCACTAAACAAAAGTAAAGAAATTTTAGGTAAAGTATGTTTTATTGATGAGTGAGACAATCAATACTGTTGCGATGTGAAATCCAATTATATTTGTTCATAGTTTCATTGCTGTTCCACTCAAAACTTTTACAGGCTTCATTGTAGTATATGTAGTAGTAGTTGAGCTAACTCTGAAATCCATACACAAAAGACTCATTACACAAAGAGTCTCTGAGATTATTACATCAATTTGAGTCTTATTTTACAACTACTGTTGAAGACAGCAAGTCATTGGCATTAGGAAAAAAATTAGACAGCAGTAAAGAGAACAGCTAGTTCAGAAATAGACCCAAATATACATCTAAAAATAATCTTTTCTTCAGAGATTTCTTCGAAAGGTACAGAAAAAAAGGGGAAAACAATGGGCCTTCCAACAAACACTGCCTAAACTATTGGCCAGCTATGCACAAAACGAATAAGCTCTAATATGTACCTTGGACCATATATAAAAATGAGTTCACAATGGCCTCATCCCCATTCTTAAAGCAGTTGACTCTCTGAATGTTCTAGACAAATATTGGAGACATTTGTGACTTTAGTTAGAAATTAGACAGAATGACTAAATCATAATCCACAAAAATTTTCATTTTTTTCTTCTAAAGATTTTAAAGTAGGAAAGAGAACAACATTTCTTGTGTGTCCCCAGAATATACAAAGAATTTTTGAAAACAATTTTATAAAGCTCGATAAAAACTAATAGAATGTGGACAAAAGTTTCACCAAGATTAATATACAGAAAAGAGTAAGGGAAGGAATTCAGGCGAGCTTGTGGGAATCCAGGGGCGTAAACTGATCATTCTTTTAGTTATCTGATATTTTGACAAGTGCAGCTATATGTATTTACTATGTACATATGAAAATTTTACAAATTATATGCTTT